TCCTCCAGGAAGCAGCGGTTGCGCAGCAGGCCGGCCCACAGCTGCACGCCGATGATGCCGAAGATGAAGAAGACGAAGAAGCAGAGCAGCAGCACATTCCCCAGCATGGGCAGGGTGTCCAGGAGCAGGTTCACCAGGATACGCATACCTGAGACGCAGAGAGGGGCCATTACTCCCTGCCTCCAGACTGCAGCACGCTAACAACGCGGGGCTGGGAGACACAGGCTGGGCACACTGTAGTACACAGCTGCTCTGGGCTTTAAAGAGAGAGGTTAACACACTGGACACTCCAGTACCTTAACACTGCAGGACACAGGACTGAGACAGTCCCCACAGAGACAGGGCAAATACCGTGTGTGCAAGAAAGGGCCCCTTATGGATATTTCTTCTACGCTCTCCTGAAGACTTCCTTGCTATAATAGCTGGAATTGTTGTACCACAGCCCCTTCTTAATTAAATCACAGATGTCTAATGATGACAAAGCCATCATCACCCAGTACTCCATTCTGCTGCTTAATTGGACGTGATTTCATTTTGGTTTTATCTGCAGAAAAAAATGAAATATTGCCAAATTGCCAATTTCCTGTATTCACACTCCCTGTGAGAGAAAGCTTCAATTATTCTTAATCGAATTTTCCTGGAGCTTCAGTGGGCTTTTCCAACAGCCAGGCCGCACAGAAACAAAGAGAGCCCAGCCAGGGCAGGGGGCAGCTCAGCTTGCAGCAGACCGCCTGGTCTGGAAGCCCAGTCTCGGTGCGGCGCTCAGATTGGTTCAGCCTTCGCCGTGCTCTCCAGCTTTCCCGACACAGCGGCAGGACTAGGGCAGACAGCGGACAGGAGGGGGCTTGAGCGGCCGTGGTCTGTGGCTTTAAAGGCAACTCAATAAACTCAAGAAAAATAATCCGTAACCGAAGAGGCCCTGAGCAGCGCAGCCTTAATGCTCCGCAGAGCTGTCAAGCAAATAACATGCTCTCTGGGTAGATTTCACGCTTGCCAGGAGCAGAGGAGATTTGTACATCTATTCATCTGGAAATAAATATTTACATACAGAGTAACGCGGAGCACACATGAACACGTTTTGCAGAGGGTGCAAAATTCATTAGAACACTCCTCACCCCCGCCTTGCTCCTACGGCACAGCCTCAGCATACGGGAGCTGCCGTCACCCCGTTGAAAAACTGAGCCGTGTAGAGGTGTCCCAGGGCGGGGGGCCTGCTCTTTCGGCTGAGCCGAGCCCGCCGCTGTCCGAGAAGCGACGCTGGGCAGGCGATCGAATCCCGGGCATCGGGACAGCCCGTCACAACGGGGGCGAGATCTAACTGTGCGGTGCGCCAGATCCGCCAATGCCAATCCTGGGAAAGGTCGGGCGGACTCACCGATCCCGGCGATTCGGGGTCATTTCAGACCGCGGAGAACGGCTACGCTCAGAGCAAGTCTGCGGGACTCGCTCAGCTGTAAAGCTGTGCTGTGGTATTTTTTTCCAGCCAGCTGTCAAAAGAGACACATCCGAATTCCGTACAGTACCTTTCATGACGCCTCATCTCGGCTGTACTGCACCAGCCTCGTCTGATATCGCTCCCCAAAACGGGACTATCGCGTATCGCTCCCCAAAACGGGACTGTCAGTCCCATTCCGGCAGAGGAAGGGGTCCCCTGCAATGAAATGCAGGCACCCCGAACCCGTGTGGGGGTGACAACAGGGCCAGCAAGGGTAAGCAAGCTTAAGGTGGTCCTGGCAGAGCAGGCTGGGAATCGTCGGAGGGGACAATCTCCAAAAATGACCTCCAGATAACAACCTGGTTCTTGCACTTGCGGCAAAAAGCATAAAAATCTGAAATCGTGACGTCCTCCGGCCCACCCCTCATTCCCTTTTAACTGGGAAAAATCCCTGACCACTTCAGATCAGAGTGACATTGTATATGGTGGTGCCCCATCAACGCCTTGCAGTCTTGCTGGCGATGGGCTTTCTCTTCAGCCTCACAGCAGTTCCCACGAGTGCGTGGAGGGGGTGTGGACCTCTCGGGTCTGTTTCTAGATCACAGAGGGGGGACTGCTGGCGCTCTCTGTCTCCAGTCTTAATTTTCCAGCTGCCTACCTCCCTGTCAGCGGTTCTTCAACAGGATCCCGAACCAGCGGAGAAAGCCCTGGGCGCCCTGTGAGTTTCAGACGCTGTTTTGCTTCACCCACAAACTGGCCTGGCTTCGGCACAGCCGATCTTGGAGAACAAGACCAAGGAGACTGGCGGTGCTCGAGGATACTGAGGCGGGGGGGCTTCAGGTGGTTAACAGCCGCCTACCCCGCTGTCTCCTCGGGGTCTCTCCTGATCAGCACGTGCCCCCTGACTCGGAGGAACCCCCTGTGATTTCTGACCTCTGCAGGGGACCCTTGCAATCCATCTCCTTTCCTTGAGCTTTCGAAGACACGGTTTCCTGGAGGAATGAGGCAGGTGGAGTGGAAAGAGAGGGCCTGACTCATCCCAGTGCCCCCCCCGGCTCAGGTGGTGGTGACCCGTTGCGCCAGTCGGGGGGTCACACTTCTTAAAGAAAGGGGGCGATACCACTCCCCCCCGCAGGGGTGTTCGCCAAGCAGGGAGCAAGGAGGAGGGTAAGCTAGCCGCAAGGCTGGGAGAGCGAGACCGGAACAGCTGCGTGCCGGTTTCCTCTTGAAGGGAATTCAGGCCCTTTCCGTGGTTTCTGGATTGATATTCCGGTCTCCCCGGAGCTGCTAGCTCCTCCGGGCACGTATCCGTCTCGGATGGCCAGTCCTGACACGCTCTGGCTGCCTGGCTCCCTGTCCTCCAGTCTCGGCAGTCGACACCTGTCAGTCTCGGTTGGCTTGCTGGAGTTACCCCTCCTCCTCCTCCTCCCTTCCTTTCCCCTCTCCCGCTCCATCTCCCCCCCCCCCGGCCCTCCGGCTCTATCCCAGCCTCGACCCCCACTCCAGACCGTTCGATCAGCACCTTCCCGGTCTCGCCTGCTTCAGCTCCTTCTGAGCGCCCGCGAGCGCTTTCTGAAAGCGGTCCTAATGAGGAAGAAAGTTTCCCAGCGCCGGCGAGGAAGAGGGAGGCTCTCCGCCAGTCAGCGAAAGCACGCGCCCTTCTGCTCGCTATTTGGAAGCGCCGCCTTTGAAATAACAGGCTTATTTTGTCAGCGGATTTCTTGATCAAAAGCGGTAAAAATAGCACTAAAAGATGAGGAACACGGAGGAGCGCGGATTGGTCACGTGGAGGAGCAGGTTCAGGTAAAGAACAGCCATCACTGCCACCTGAACAATTAGCAGCCCGACTGAAACACGAAGTGAACAACTCTCTGATGTCCCCGTGCTTTCAACTGACAGACCACGTTGCTTCAAAAGGGATGTCGAGAGATCAATAACCATCCATAACTGTAAACCCAATTCTAATTAATTATTGATGCACCAACAAGGGATTAGTTGTGCTTTACCACCTACAGAATGAAACACTGTTTCTTGGTTTTATTCTACCGCAACACGAGGCGAAAGTAATGTGCCCTGCACACTCCAATGCTTTTCTGCTCTTAGCTCGCTTTGACTGGTCATCGTGAAGTGCGATTAAGAGCTGTGGGGAGGGCAGACAAAGTCAGACAAGGCCTCCCTGCCTTGCCATGCCACAGCGCCCCCCTGTGGTCTGCCAAGCACCCATGCGCTTGCAGCCTCACCAGCGAGAGAGCCCGCCCTCTGCTGCCTCGCCCTGCAGAGGGCGCTGTAGAGCTCACACCACGCGTCAGACGTGGGGTGGCCTGACAAGTGGTCCCTTCGCAGGAAGTGCACCTGATGTCATATCCTCTGACGGGTTCACACAGGACTGCCAATGGCAATTGCAGAATAAAGGGTAAAAACAGACGGCATGCTGGGAAATGCTGTGCAACAGGGGTGTCGCATGCTCTGAGCTAGATTAGAACGGGCTTGTCTCCACACTGGGAGCGTTGCCATCACACAGGGGCTCGACCACTGGGATCCCTTATGTTGCACATTTATACTGGGACTGATGAGACCTTTTTTATTCCAGCACTGTAACCACTTCTGTGCTTGAAGGGATCACACTACAATAAGTAAACACTGTATTTCAATAAACATAGTACTCCCCCTCCTCAGCTGAACTGGGTCACCTCGAAAGAGTGTCTCCTTTCTTCCGGGACGTCCCATAACCTCAAGCCAGCCACAGAGAGATCTGGGCTTTTTAGGAAACGAAGCTGCCTGTGCAAGAGCTTCAGCGTACTGCTTAATAGGCACAGCGCTAAACCCAACGCTGATTTTACCACTGAACGCCGTTGCAGACACACAGTACGTATTGGCACCCTTTTTATGAAACAATGTTTCTCACTAAATGATCATGTGCAATAATTATTGTCTGTAAAACCATAATTAGGAGTCATCGGAGCCGGTCTAAATCTGTCGAACGCTCATTCGTTCTAGTGCATGGTAGTCAAGACGCTGCAGTGGATTAATTTCAAGAACGTTGATGCTGTCGCGGTTATGTGTGCAGTTCTCCAGACTCCCCAGCCTCTGAGTCCAGCCTACTCCTGCCTCTGACCAGGGGTGGCCAGAGAGAGCCCACACAGGGGTGCATTAACCCTGCAGAGAACTGGAGGAGAGGGACAGAATCGGAGGAGAGGGGATAGAGGGACTCGAGGGCGGCCGGATCTTGGATGGTCATCTGTCCTGCCGGTCTGCTGAAACCTTCTCTGCAGTCAGGACACAGTGGAGCGGCTCACTCCATAGTGTCTGGCAACGCTGGCACATGACGTGCCTGCAGCATGCCGATGGCCCTCTCTCTTGATTCTGGTGACATTCGTGGCATTATGGAATGCACAGAAAACTGACTGAATATGGCCATTTTCTTGCAGTGACCTAAACTTTGAATTAAGGCCTTTTTAAAGGTGACCTGATCAGGCATTACTCCACCTGGACCTCGTTGGGTAAAAGTGCTCCTAACGAGCTTTCGTGTGACTGGCAAGTCGCAGTGCCTCACTGCACAAGCTGTATTGCTGGTCAGAGGGCTCAAAACAAATTGACAACTTTTTGTGAAGGTACATAAGCTACAACTATAGTATTCTCATTCCAGAAAATGTTGCGCTTCTCTTTTCCATCAGTATATGTGAAGAATAGAGATTTCTTTAGGAACAGTCAAGGCTAACTCCTGTGCTCATATCTCGCCATCCAACCAAAGAGATTTATTGCCTCTTCAGAACTGATCCGCTTTGTTGTGACCTGACAGACAGGTGCACTCTGTAATTTGCAGAGGCTCTTCCCTCCCTCCCTGTCTGCCAGCTTGACGGCTCAATTAATCCAGACCCCTGACATTAGGTGCTGTCCCTGGCTCTCTCCCCCTCTCCTCCAGCTGCGCGGCAATCGCTCTCTCCCTCCTTCCCCGAAGACGGGGTTGTGCCGAGTTCCTGCGCCGGGGCCGCCGCCGATCCATCACACAGCGGAAACAAGGCCAGCCAGCAGAGCCTTTCTCTGGGAGGTTTAATTGGATGAGCCGGAAGACTGGCTCACACTTTCCGAGCTGAAGGATCACGTCAGGCTTTGCGTTTCAAGACGTCAGCTGAGGCGCCCATCCCTTTCTGGGTACCTTGTCTATTGTGTTTCTGTTATTTTAATGTGGACTGACCAGTGGCTGAGATAAAGACTTGCTACTGGAAAGGCCCTCGTCCAAACACTTAAGACTCTCAGCAAGTTAGCTGAGCCTCCTGTTCTCATCCACAGATGAGCCGCAAAACTGAATCTCTTTCAGGTGGCTGGGAAGCTGCTGTCGATGCAGAAAATACTCCCTTATTAAGCAGAATACTAGCCTATTAAAGCCCAATACTAGTCATCTGCAGACTGATTTTATTTTTGTTGATGTACAGTACTTTGATGTGGCTGACACGCTTACTTGAGGAGACTTGGGAGCAAGAGAGAGAGAGAGGGGGGAGCAGGAGAGAGAGAGAGGGGGAGCAGGAGAGAGAGGGGGAGAGAGGAGGAGCAGGATGGAGAGTTTCCTGAACGCAGTGTTTCCTGTCTTCACCTGTCAGCCTGGAATGAGCTCTGCCTGTTCCCGAGCCGCCTGCGCGCACTGACGCGGCTCTCCGCTCGATCCCCTCGTCACGGCACACCGAGGAGCTCCTGCCGCTGGGGGGGTACAGGCTGTGTTTTCCAGGGTCCCCCATCCCCATTCATTGGGGAGCCCCCCTCAGGCACGTTCCCTTGCCAAAGGGGCCAGTTTCTACCGACCTGGGCCAACCGCCGGCAGCGCCGTCAATCAAAGCAGGTGAAGCGATTCAGAAATCAGACGGAACCGAAACCCGAGCTCCCGTCGCCTCCGAAAGATCAGCGCTCGCTTCATCGGACCGCCGGCTCTGCTCTTCAAATAAGCAGGGCTGCAGGGCGGGCGGCGGGCCTCTCGGTCCGGAGGGGGGGACCGCTGACGCAGACTTGTGCAGCGCCCGCAGACAGGGCGCGGCGTCAGAGCCCTTCTCGCGGCTGAAAGCGAAACTCTGGAAGAGTGGGACGGTAACAAGCTGATCTGGCCATGAACTGGCCACACAGCTCTGAGCCGCACGTGGGGAATGGACTGGGGCGAGGATACTGGGACTGGGTGTACATGGCAGACTGGACAAGGCCCCCAGGCTGGGACGATCTCTATCCGCTAAGAAAAGCGTCGATTTAACACAAAACTGGACACCCATATAGATGTTAGGTTCCTTGCTCACCGTTCACCATCACCCTGTGGCTGCAAAACTGTCTCTCTCGTTATCTCTCCCTGTCTGATTTTTCCTTGCCCTGGGTCTCCCTCGGCTCCGAGAAAGTGCTGTCTCTGCTAATCACCCTCTCCCTCTCTTCCCTATTATAGGCTGTCTCGCACAATATTGTACGATAAACCTCTCAATTCGGCGTTCGGGAAAACAGCAGCGTGCGCCAGTCTCCCGCTCTCTCCCTGGGTACCATTATCTCCGGTCAGCCCCAGATCTCACCCTCTCCAAACCTGTCCGCAGCCTGGCTGCGATCAGAGATCGCAGAGCGGCCCGTGTCTCTGCTCCTGACTCGCTGAACGCAGGGGCTGGGACGGGGGTTGAGGCTCGACGCAGGAGCTGGTGTCCTTCGGCTCTTGCCATGTCTGTCTGCTTCCTAGCCCTCTTCAGATCCCAGCAGTGGGCACTGCCCGAGCTTCCCCGCGTCCTTTAATAACCCGGATCACCGCAGTCCTACACTGCATGAGCTCACCGAGCCAAATTCCATGCAACTAGCTGTTGTGGGAACAAGGTGTGGGAAATGAATTGCGTGCAGGCTGTGTTTCTGGTCCCTATAGCTCTATACTGACAACAAAACCCTCCCATGAATGGTGACCATAAGAAGGCCTATATTAAGGTCTATATTAAAAAAAATAAGCCGCTCAGCACTACAACTGTAGCAGCTTTTAGTGCTTCTATAAAGTCAGAGTCTAACCCCAATCGTTAAAGGAGCACTAATGAGCTAGGCTTAAGAGACCCCTTAGGGGTCTTAACATTAAGATAAGAACCCAGGAGGATTAAGAGATTGTATGAATGTGAAATTATTTAAGTGCCCCACTTAATTGGCCAAAATAAGTACCTTACTTAGCTTAAGTGCTCTTATGAATACAGGCCCAGATCTTTATAAGATCAGATTTATATGAGATTAGCTCCCTGGGAGGTTTGACATAAGATTAGTCTATTGTAAGGCCCTTTACTGTACAATTCCATTCCTACAACATTAACCCCTGATAAGATTAGACTCCCCAGGAATCAACTCAAAAAATTAGACCTGCATGAGGCCTGAACCATTTACAAGACAGGGTATAGCACGGATGAACACAGGCAGCCACACAGCAGCAAAGGCAGTGAGAAACACAGAGAGAGACAGTGACACTTATACACTCACACAGCTGGGCAGACTCAAGGTAGCGCGCACACACACACTGCCCTGCAGGACCCCCGAGGGTGGCTGCTCACCCTGGTGCTCAGGACTTGATTAGTGTGACACACTGTAAGCACTGTATCAGCCTGCCATCCCAGCAGAGAGCCGGAGAGCCAGAGAGAGCCCGTAAGCAACACTATGACCTGCATTCAGAGAGTCCAGGGGGGGACGTGAGAAGGTGACAATATTCACACTCTCCTTCTCTGGTATGTTCTCACTGTGCCCTTGTGTTCCTGGGGTTTATACCTCCTCCGTGGTCCTGACATGGAGAGATGGACAGAGGGCGACGGAGATGAAGAGAGAGACTCGGAGACAGACCCCTTGTTTCCACTGACACACAGAGAGACAGATGTGGGCGCCGGTGGCACCCCCGAGAGACCGCCTGCCTGCCGCGCTGCCAGCGAGGAGCTCAGCACCCCCACCCCTCCCCTGCCGCGGCGCCCCGATCTGCCCTCCCCGGCCGCGCACACGCCAGCTACGCGGACAGCGCTCCACTCCGCTGCAAACCGACTGCACGGCGTTTTTATACACGGTGAAAATAACTGGCACTGCCCTGCGTTTCTTCTGCTCGGCACGATCTGACAAGGCGAAAACAGGACCATGTTTCGAGCGAACCGGTTAGGTCTACGGTACAAACTGAAGGCCCCTGTGCCTGCTAGGAGTTGAAGACCTGTCTTACTGTTGTGTGCGCCCCCAGCTGTCCTGGGTTTCTTCAGGATCTCTGGAGTGGAGGCGTGTAACAGGTGTGTCCCATCTTTGATTGAGCAGCATGAAAGGAGAACAGGGGTCTCAGCTAATTAGGGGTCTTGGTTGATTGCCCAGGGCTGACCTAACTGCCTGACTTCCTGACCTTGTGGACGCCTTGTAAGGCAACAGACCGATACTGCCCCATCAGAAACGTATGTTTGCAGATGAAAGTTTTGCTCGCCTTCGGGAATAAAAACCCGTTGCCGTCCTCAGAAAAATGAGTGGAGGACGAGGTTAGGCTGTAAACTTCGTCTTTCCTCCTGTCCTCGTTGCAATAAAGCAATCTCCAGCTTGACTTGCCTGAGCTGTGTGGTTTCCTGAGAACACTCCTGAGCTAAACTCCTGAGCTACAGGGCTGAATCCTCTACACCCTTCATGAGATCCGAACAGGAAGTACAGTGGAGTGGGGACAGGCTACTCACTGGGCACCCGGTTGATGGCTTTCAGCGGCCGCAGGACCCGCACTGTTCTGATGGCCGAGAGGTTGATATTCTGGAGGTCCAGGGAGTACTCCACCATCCTGGGGAGAGACCACAGAAACAACATGGTGAGCTGCCAACACGGGCTCAGGAGGGAGCGCAGGTCAGAGGGCAAAGGTCATCACTGTCCTTTCTGATGCGCCTCTGCTCTGGGTGCCTGACTGAGCCGCCTGTCGGCCTGCCCCCCCTCCTCTCTGAGGATCACAGAGGCCACCCCGAAATGCCCACTTGGCGCCCCAGCATCGCCGGCTGAGCCGAGGGCACCTCAAAAAAGGCTTCGAACCTCCCTCCCTCAAGAAACAGAAGCAGGACAGTGTAAAAACAACCACACAAGCCAGGGTGCAGGGGTGTCGGGGGGGGTCTGGGGGACCCCCGCGTCTCGAGATTCGGGGGTTTTGAGGGCTCAGAGGCGCACGATCGCTGCGCGGCGCGGAGCCCCTTCGCTGCCACGTCTCGACACGAGCCAGCTGCCCCTGCGTTCACTCAAAACAGTCTCAAGCGTCTCGGGGGGTCTGACGGAGGGGGCTTTGGACTTTGACTTGATTATGACTTGGTTATTTGCGCGCACACCCCAGCAGCCTCCGCGGTCCTCGCCAGTGTCCAGCCGCTCTCTCTCCCTGCGCCCGCGGAGAGGTCAGCGCGAGGACAGGGGGCGTCCAGTCAAGCACAGCCGAGCAGGCCAGCAGGGGGCGCTCACCCTGCGGTCTGTGTGGGTCCTAATGCCCCAGTATGGTGACGGGGACACTACACTGTAAAAAACGTGCCATTATTTTAATGAGTCATAAAACCAAGATCCTGAATCTGTGGTCATTAAATATCCTGGGGTGTTTCTCAAAACGAGTTGGGGTGTTACCCCCAGGCAACCTGGCCAAATTACTCCCTGGCCTTTACCAGTCATGGCCTCCTAATAACTCCCCTCTCTGAACTGGCTTCATCACTCTGCTCTCCTCCCCACTGAGAGCTGGTGTGTGGGGAGCGGACTGGAGCATCATCCAGGTGGGGGTACAGCCTGGTGGGGGGTGGAGGGGATCCCCATGACCTGTCCAGCGCTCTGAGTGGGGGGTCCAGCTGTCAGGATTTTTTAATTGATATTTCTGTAGGCTTCAAACCCTCTCCTCTCCTCTCCACGAGCCTGCTGGTGCGGAGAACGAAGAGACCCGAGGGGTGCCGCTGTGTGCAGACCGTGTGCAGACCGTGTGCGGCAGCGCTCGGCGCCTCAATCTGGAAGAGGCGTGACGAGCTCTTCCCAGAGTACCCAGCCCAGTCCAGGTAACGATCCCGGCGCGGTTACCTCTGGAGCTGCAGCAGCCCCTGTGGCTTCCGCGGCTTTAATTAAATCATCCCGCGCGCGGCGGAAGTCCCGCGCGCCTGTCGAAACTGGCAGCTCACGTTCACGGCGAAATCTGCGGTTGACACCCATTCCAAGCGATTAGGGGCAGCTCCGTGAAGCCAGTCCCTCCACCCCTGTCCCTTCCTGTTCCCCAGCTCCCTCTCTCCATCAACGTTCTTCCCACCTCTCTCTTCCCTTCAGGAGGCGGAAATCGCCCATTTTCTTGCTCTGCCACTGGATAACCCCACACGAGACTTCATTCCGCCTCCCTTCCCCCGTCCACCTCCCCGAGTTTCCTGCTTTCCCCTGCCTCTCGCCCGAATCCCTCTGCCTGTGCCGTCTCTCCCGCGGAGAACAGAGGGTCGGATATCCCTGGCACCGGGAAGAGATTACCGCTCCCTCTTAAACTCCCCCTCTGTCTTCCTCGCCTCCCCCTGCTCTGCAGATCAGTGCCTCCTGGCACGAGAGAGAGAGGGGAGAGGAACGCCCAGGCACCGTCTCCCCCCAACACTTTCTCCACACTTGAGTCCGGTTGTCCCTCCCGTCGCCCTGCCACAGCGGAGCCAGAAGAGCAGGAACTCATTTCCGAGCGACCCTGCGCGGTGCGGAGAGCTGGAACGCAGACAGAAACGCATGTCTGGCGCGGCGCATCGCCTGCCCTCAGAGCCATCTGCTCCTGGCCCTGCACAGCCATGCGTGCGTGTGCCCCCTCTCTCCTTGAACGCCTGGCGTGGTGTCCCAGCTCTGTCCTCCCGGCCTGCAGCTCATGCCCTCTTTAACACGGAAAACCTGCCAGACGCAGCCTCACTGTCTGTGTGTACAGTGGAGATTGTGCATGCGATCTGTTGTCTGTAGAGAGCATCCATGTGCATACATGAGCACTGGGTGTGCAGACAGGTTAATACAGGTAACAGACAGACAGGCCAGTGGGCATAAATGCCTGTAGAGAGTGGAAGGTGGAGGTTCACGTGGTGTGTGTCTGTCTACTCGAAGCAGGTGAGTGTGTGTACCTGTGTAGGCTGCAGGTGAGTGTGTGACGTGTGCTGCTGTGAGCAGACCTGGCGTTCTCAGCTCCTGCCTGATCGGCTCAAGGAGGATTTGAGCCCACTGAGCCACAGAGCTTCACAGCTTCACTGCCGCAGCCTAAGGAGCAGTGATTCTGAAAAAATACTGCTTGATCGACCACATTTCCGAAACAGTTTCATTTTTGCTCCGTCTCCTCTATCTGATTGAACAGCACTCTTTTAATACAAAATGTGCGATCAATTATGTCTGCGTGGTTTCTTTGGTAATTCCACCCCCTAATGAGATAGCTTGACACCCATATAAATAACTGCACCTATGAAACTGGTTATCCGGTCATTCTGCCAGACAAACATCTTTATCTTTAACCAGGAAAGCGGTTCTTAAAGGTGACACATTGTGTGGCTGTCTCAGACTGCTACAATTACATCCTGACAGCCAGGCCCGCCGGTGTAGAGAAACTGTGTAGAGAACCAATCTGTCTCCATTGTGCACATTGTGTTTGTTTGGACTGTGTGTCTGTGTACCAGGTGTGTGTGTCGTGGATCTGTGCGTACAATATAGAGTTGTAATCGTTTGGTGTTGCATCTTCGTGTGACGTGTGTCTGTGTGTACAATGCATCTGTGCGTGCAGTGTATTTTTTGTGCATCTTCCTTTGTGTGGTGTACGTTTCATTTGTGCGTCTGTGTGTATGGGGTGCAGTTTGTGAACAGCGTTGTTATTTTCCGTATGTGTACAGTCTGTTTTGCGGTGTACGTGTGTGCAGTGAGTTTGATTTGTTTGTGGTTCTGTGTGTGGTCCGTTTATATCTGTGTGTATAGTGATTTGTGACGGTAGGAGTACAGTGTGTGTGATCTGTTTGTACATCTGTGTGTTATTTGTGCATGTGTGTACAGTGCAGGATGTGTGATGTGTTGTATCTGTGTGTGTACAGTGTGTGGCAGGTGTATTTGTGTCTGTATAGTGTGTGAGCCCACTGGAGGGGGTCAGGGAAGAGGTCAGTCCAACAGCCACTAAGACACAACAGGCGCACAAGCAGCCAGCTCTCCTGGCTACACAACAATGGCTCAACAAAGAGCTATTCTAGCAGCTCTTTCCACCCTGAAGAGCTGGGAGGAGGGACTCGGCCAGCCTGCCATTCTCTCTCAGTGTGAGTCAACAGGCATCGACCTTCTGTGCAGACAGCAGCTCTCATTTCCTACAGGGCCTGTATAGATGCTGTAATCTCGCAGCTCCAGCCTGAATTATTTTAATTGCTAATTTTATGGTTTTGTATAGACCCCTTCACCATCACCCTCCCCTTGCCAGCCCCTTTGCTATACTCGCTGTCACCTTGATCAAACGCGTGAGACGCTTGCCAAGGTGTACAGCAAAGAAATTATTCACCATAACACAAAAAGGCTATCTCTCTCCCAGTCTCTCAGCTCTCACCACTAGCCCACACTGCCTCCCTCTCTCTCTCCCAGTCTCTCAGCTCTCACCACTAGCCCACACTGCCTCCCTCTCTCTCTCCCAGTCTCTCAGCTCTCA